TCTTTCTCTCCAACTCCCCCTGGCTATGCTTTGTTACCTTTCCCCTTTGCAGTAATTCCTCATGCTCTTTGTAATCTGTCTCCTTCTCAAAATTGCGTCTGCTACTGCAACCACATTTGGTTGTTCACAAGTGCAAGGGAAAAACAAATTATTCCATTTCGCCTGTGCTTCCGTGTCTGCTATTGCATCAGAAGGCCCTGATCTTTGCTAGGATATGCTTACAAATTCAGCATAAGTAATAAGAAATAATAATTGCGGTTGCTTTCTGATCTTGAATGAATCACCTTGACTAGAAGTCAGGGAGATTACTTATTTAATCAGAACAGGTTACAGTCAGTCTTACTGAATGGATGCTAATGTTTTGAGGATCTCTGCTGAAACTTGCTGTTACAGTTAGGTAATCTGTAAGCTGTTTTACAGCTGAGGCTGTCAGTTCTGTTTTTACTCAAGTAAGTGATAGAAATGTTTGGGTATGTCAAATGGATTACACCTGTTAAAGCTGCTCAACCTACTGCTTATGGTCTAGTAGTTTCAGTGCAGGGAAAATAACTGCAGCCAAGGATCATTTGGGAAGGCATTGGTAAAACTTGATGGAAGAAGGAGGACAAAATATACCCTTGCCATCTGCACCTACCTGAGACAGCCCTCTACGTTAAGAAAGATAGGAATGTAGTAATGAGGGTAGCAGCACTGGCCAGAGACTGCTGTCAGCTCTAAATCCACTTAAGGCTGTTGCAAAGGCTGGTAGAATAAGCATTAAACTGATGTCTTGGCTAGGGACACCAGAATGTCTTGCTACAGCTTTGTTTAGAAGTGACACTGACCAGCATGTCAGTTTTCATTTGACCTAGCTCATGATTGACAAGATCTATTTTGATCAAGTGATGAATTTTAGTTTTAGGAGGTCCCACTATATTTTCTTTGCTTGGATGGGGTAAAGCTTCACTTTGGAAGAAGTTGCATTGGAATCAGCAGGTACTTTGCAGATGGGGGACTAGTCAACAAAGTGTGTCTGATAGAGATGGTGGCTGTTTATAGGTGTGGTGCTGGTATATAAGCCCTGAAAATCAACGGTATCCAGCTGGCTTCCCCAGCACTCCCTTTTGCCTACCATAGGCAGGGCAATCTTGTTCTTCCTATTTCTCAGGAAAATGCCCTGATCTGGGACCTAAGCACATGTATCTCGTACGTACTGTAGTGTTGTGCCATGCAGAGTTTGCAAGGCTGGAACTATGTCTTTGTCGTTTCACTTTAGGTAACAGGGGTGAATAGCTGCACTCAATAGACTGTGTGCCGCATCTGTTTCTTTCTTTGTCTCTCTTATCCTTTTTGTCTCTGCATTTACCATTTTTTCTTCCGGTTTAATGGTTTTATTAGGCAGTGGCATCAGAAGGTGCTTGAAAGCATATTGATAAACAAAAGCAGCAAAACACAAACCCAGCTGAAAATTGCCCTTTGTATTGGCAGTACAAACAGTGGAGATCTAGGTGGGTGTTAATAGCAATTCCAAACGCATCCTTAATGCTGCTTTCAGGGCTGGAGGAATGTTGGCAAAAGAAATAAATAACTTGCTGTTTGTAAAGGTCATAGGTGGTACCATGGTAGCTCTGTGATAATTCTTTAATGAGTGATATTATAGTAATAGGCATTGATATTTAATCAGTTCTCCTGGTATTAGTCACCTGTCTGCTCTCTTATTGTGGGTTCTTCTGAGTGTCTGGTTTCCATCCTGCTGGTGTTGCTTGAACAGCATCGCAAAATGCTGGGGCAGGACTTCAGGACACATTAAGCCAAAAGGGTCTGTGGGCCGGGTGAGATGTTATGTAGGGTGCTGGCAATACTTCATGCTGCAGAACACACTGTGAGAGAGAGTACCCCAAGGATGGGTTCTCCAGATCACCTCCCTGCCCCCGTCCCCTTCCATGGAAAAAAGATTGAGTGTATTGCAGCACTTGGTGGTGTCTTGACATAAAAAATATTCAGGTGGTTTTGCACACTTTTAACTTGCTCTGCTCACTGCTTGGTAAAAAGAAGGATAAAAATACAATAGAATTAATAATCAGGAAGAGCCTTAAGAAAGGATCTTAAAGTAATAGCTAAAACAAATTTTAAATGCATCTCCCGAGAGCTTAACAGGATTATAAGGATCAGGAAAATTGCCTTTTTTGCCTGCTTAATGATTGTTGCCCTACTGGTCTGTGCAGTTTAGCCTATATTTAAGGTCTTCTGCAGGGTGTTCCCGCTGTTGTTTGAAGGAATGGGTCAAGTGTCGTACATGATATTGTTGAGTGAGGTGTTTGCAAAATGCCTGAAGGAAAGCTGGTTTCCATAAATGCTGAAGGGGGTGAGAAACAGCTGGCAGGCTTCTTGTTCAGAGTGCACAGCTCCAGGAAGCTCTTGGTCCAGAAACTGTTTGCTTCCTTTCTGGATAAACATTATAGCTACCTACCTCTCTAGGCTTTCTGCCTTCGAGTGACCCAATCTGAAATCCAGTCCAGTGATGTCTGTTTGTGGCTGCAGAAGGTCCCAAATCCTTGGTGCTGAGAGCTAAGCAGTGTGGGCTACTGCTCCAAGCCATAGGCACTGCCGTGTGACTGCCCATCACGCAGGAGTGCCTGTTTTATTGAACTTGCAGGAGCAAGCACTTGGCCCAGCTCTTGTCTCTAATGAGCCAGCATAGGAGTGACTGTGGATCTGGGACCCGCTTTGTGTTAACCATTAGAGTGCAACATTGTGCTTGTATTTGATGGGCATTATTTTATTAAATTATCATTCATATGCTAGGGACTCTGTCCAAGACTCCCTTGAATCCCAGGTCTCCACATCTGGTGAAGTATCTTTGGTGGCAAAACTGGGTCAGAGAGAGCCGAGATGTTCCCAAGTTAGTGTGTTTCTTCACGTGTGGTTGCAGCTTGCTGCTCCCTCAACAGGTGCTTGTGGGCCTGTGAGAAGAGCCAGGTTAAAATCCTTCTCCATCCTTAAAGTAAAAGCTATGCATTAACACCAGTGAGTTTAGAAAACTGTTTTATAGTGCTGCCTTTCAACTAGTTGTGCTACCAGAACTGAGGAAGTGGCAAATTGAGGCATAAAAGCAGAAATCAGCACACTGATGGGAGTTCTAGGAGATGAGACTCCATGTGATAATTCTGGTCCCCAGGCAAGGGTATTGTAAAGATAATTACCTTAACGAAAATGACCTGAGATGAGACAGACGCCTTGACTTCAGGGAGAGCTGTTAGTACCACTGGCAGCAGGAGTTCTTTAGAAGCTGTCTGTGATTCTGTCCAGAGATAAAGCCAAGGCTATAACTGTGTTCTACATCGTAGCTTAAGCCCCATTGACATCCTGCTCCTGCCTGAGTGTTTTCCTGAGCTGAGTCTTGCATTGTGGATAATTGCAAATACTCCTTTGTGGCTTTTATTTTGATCCATACTCTTCTGTGATATCTTTATTTCCAAAGTGCATGATAAGAGGTTGTTGGGTAAAATTAAGTTTTATTTTCAGGACATCATTAAGCAGTGCTTTTCCCATTGGCACATTCACTGTCACAGGATGAAGGGTACTCTGAAGAATTAAGAAAAGTAGTTGTTTCATCAGATTATGTCTTAGCTCAACCAGGCTAATGCACTGTAATATCTAGACAAACCCTATAATTGGAGATAGGTTGAAACAAGCTTTTAGCTATTCATGTACTCCAGCTCTAAGTTAATTTGATGTCTAAGCCATTAAGCAAAAAACAAAACAAACAAACAAACAAAAAAAACCAAACCAAAACCAATCAGTCAATAAAAAATAGGCCATTGTTAATTAAAGACATCTTGAAAATCAGGTTGTTTACAGAGATAGGGATGTGTGTGTTCTTTCTCAAAAGCTTGGGACTAATTTTTTCTCATTTTGCAGATTGTGTGCTGAGTCTGAAAAGTCCAAGTCAGTGATATCTCTTGCAGAACCACCTTTTTAGTGCACACACAAATCATTTTAACAATAGTCTGAAGTACCTGCATTCCTATTCTATATGTACCCAACATAGAGGAGTAAGATTTCACTTGGGGGTCAGTGCTTTCTGAGTCATGTTAGGAAGGAGAATGGAACTTCAAATGCAATGCTTTGTTGCATTCTTCCTTGCCTCTCTGACCAGCCGAGTTTAAATGCTCAGATGGCAAAGAAAGGTAATGGAGAGGGTGGATCAAGACTCTGCCCACTTTGTAGCCCTCTCTAGCCCTCTCTAGTTATTTAGCCCCGATCTGTGTAAAAAAGGGGAGTGACATGCCAGAGATGCTGCTTTTCTTCTTCCCCTGCTGTTCTTTAGGGTGATTCACACCAGTGAGCTACTATAAAGAAAATTAACTCTATCCCAGCCAAAACCAGTACAAAAAACTGCTTAATTTCTGCAGCTAGTCATGGCTAAGACTAAGAGACATTCTAAGAGAAGGTCTCTATGTTTGATCATGCTGGGAATCGTTTAGCCTTCTTTGTTAATGGGATCTTTCTAGGAAAATATGAATGTGAATGAACAAGTTAGTGTGACCCAAGTAATCTAATGACTGCTGACTCTGATCTTTCACACTACTTTTATGCATTAAAAGAAAATCAGCATAACATATCTACTTAGTTCTGAGGGGGATTGATTTCTGTTCAGCTTATGTTCAGAGATACAGATTATGTTCTGGGTGTTTCTGGTAGATGTGTTAATCTAAATGTCCAATAAATCTTAATCTGCTAATTTTCTGTTTTTACACCTTGTACTGCTTCCTCCATTTAACAGTGCTTCAAAATATGCTAATGACTTCTGGTATAAGCAGCATTGTGTGTATATGTGCATACACAGTATGAATACTTTGCCAGCAAGTTAGAGATAACTGCCTTTAACCATTCTGTCATTAAATGTCCCTGCAGATAAAATATTGTATTTGTCTGTGTTCACTGATGCAGAATCTTTTTAAAATCAGTCTGACTTAATTATTTTTATACACTTCATTTTTGTTTTCATGTTCCTTCAGGCTTCAGACTTGATTATCACCCCAGCTACGACTTTCAAGGAAAAACCAGACCCCAGTGGTTTAGTATTTGGAACTGTGTTCACTGATAATATGCTGACAATTGAATGGTCCTTGGCTTCAGGATGGGAGAAACCTTATATTAAGCCTCTTGAGAACCTTTCGTTGCATCCAGCCTCCTCGGCTCTGCACTATGCTGTAGAAGTGAGTACTGAATCGATTTGGAAACTGCTGTTTTGTTTCATTATCTCTTGAAGCCATAGCTTTGTAATGCAAAGACTATTACTGTCTTAAGTTTATTAATAGTGTGTTACATTTTGTTTTGTTAACTGATGTCCATCCAGAATAATTCCATTGTTTACAATGGAGTTACGTGTGTGTTGGTATAAGTCAGAAGCCACTCTGGCCTGTGGATTCCATCTCACTTAACTTTCTAGCCTAGTGAAGGTGAGCCCTTTCTTCTGTGGTGACAAATTCTTTTGAGAAAGCATTCTAGTTCACTGACAGTGGGTCGGTCCAATTACTGTCTCTGATGTAACTTAGTGAAGCACTGGATAAGACCATGTGAGATTCCAAGAGCAGCTTTAATTTGGGGACTGAACATGCACTTTGTGAGAATTATTTTAAGCAGTTTTGAAGGTTCATAGCTTGGATTGCAGGACAGACTAGACAGATGCTTGTTTGCAACTCTGAACAAGTCTGGAGAGCTCTGAACTAACATTCAGCATCTATAAGTGTATTTAAGTGGAGAATATACAGCAAGGAACTTTGGAAGGTGAAATGTTAAGTCGGAAACCAGCGTGGTTAAGTTTCCGTGCTTAGCTGCTTGCTGTCTAAAGCTGCCTTTTGTGTCCTCAGAGCAGCTTTGGCTGTACTCACATCTGTGTGAGAGCCTCGGTAGGGTGCATATGCTGAAATGGAAGCCTGCTTCTCCTCCCACTTCTGGGTAGATGGGAGTGTCTCCACTGAAGTTAGTGGAGTTGCTTGTGCTTTTTTTTTTTTTTTTTTTTTAAACACTAGTATAAGGGAAGGATCAAGCTTTTCCCTGCTTGTTATCCCTGAGCTCCTGCTTTCGCCATCTTTTGTTGTTGTTCTTTTTTCCCCATCTAGTCATCAAGCCTCCAAAGGTCCTGTGTAAATTACAGCAGGCCCTTGTGACTAAGCTTGCAGCTCTTGATCTGCCCAAGAAGTAAGAAACCACGCTGGAGTCCCAAATCTGTATTTCACTCTTAGTAGCATATTGCTTTACTGCTTGGCCTCTGGCCCAGTCTGGAATAATTGCTAATATGAACATGCTCTTATTTTTTTTTCCATTTTTTTTATTCTTTTACCCTTATTGCATCACGTTTCCTCTAGCCAAGAGGACAGACAGAGGAGAATCTGGTGCCAATGCTGTGGCTCAATGAATACACAGTGGGTATAACAAAAATAATGAATTTGGCATTCCCTCCCCTTTTTCCTTGCCCTCCATGATACAGTGTGATAGTCTGGATCTGCTGAACTCCAGATCCAGCTCCTGTGATGTACAGATGTCAGATAATATTGTTTGCTCACCACTGTAGCAACCATCAAGCAACCACAGCAGTTGCTTTTATTCAAATTGAGCATTTCTGGAACACATCACTGTCTCCCTTTTCAGTGAGTCAAAGGTTTCACTGAGGTCTGGAAGGTTAAAAGTATTTCTTTGTGGAGAAAAAGATTTAACAGCTTGAGAAGGCTTTGTGTTTCAGTAATGATGTGATTCTTCTCTCAAACCATTGATCAAATCTTAGTTGTAACATTCCTTCCTCTTCCCTCTCATTAAAAGTTCTGTGAATGTGTTTGGGAGCAGGGTGGGGGGAAACAACTGTTTGGTGATAAGAAAGTAGCATTACAGAAGTGTGATATTAGTTAGTAATTGGCCCAATAAAAATCATATCAAAGTATCAACCATATCACCAGCTGTGCCATCCGTTATTAAAGGTAGAATCTTTTTCTTGTAACTATAATGTCTCTCGTAGGAACAATTTCTTTTTCAAAATAGTGTGCAAAGCTTTTAATAAGGACTAAGATAAATTTTGAAGGCAAAAAGTTCTGGGTTCTAATTCTGGTTCTGCTACATAGTTGGCATGTAGCCTAAGGAAGATTGTCAGGATTTCTGCAACCCAGTTACAAACCAGTTAAAATTTGACATGTGGAAGGACCTAGCTCTGTCATGGGACTGCAAAGAAACTTTTTAAACATTGCATGATCCTTATGGGAAAATTATATAGAATTTAGTAATAATGAAACCTTGAGTATTCTACTAAAATTACTTAGACACAAGTACAGGATTCTTTTTTTCCAAATAAAAATCCTGTATATGTAGACTTCCAACCACACAGAACATATTTCCAGCCATTTTTTGTGGAACAGTGGGGAGGAGAAGTCTGAGGAGACTAACAGCAGTGATGCAACTAAATTCATAGAACTTATACTGAAATTTAATGAACAAAGAAATGCTTTAAAAAATAAATTCTAAAAATCAGAACTCTTGTCTATAAGCATAAGCGATCCTTTAATACTTCATCTAAATAATACCTGTATATACTTATATATTAATGGGAGTTTATGTAATACATGTGTTTTCTGTCTATAACTGGAAGTTATCGATCTGTAACTGAAAATAACTGTGGATATTTTGTGGGCATATGTTTTTTGCCATGGCTAGGAGATGTTGTGGAGCATTCTACTGGGAGGGCACTACTGTGATAAGGGTTTCTGGTAAATTGATTGTCTACACCAGTCATCTGGATTCTGTAGTTTGATGGGATATTATGACTAATTTAAGTTTCCTGTAAAGCACAGATAAAACATTTTCATGCATTCTTGCTCTAGTGTACGGCTGATGCATCTGTCTCTTTTTCTAACTAAACCCGTTCCATAGCATAGCTTCATACAGGGGAAATAAGCAACCAAGATTTTGCTACAACTACACCAAGAACTGCAACAGAGTTCCCTTAATTACCTTATTCTATGCTTCCTACCAAAATGTGTTTTGGACAGAGACCTAAAAATGATTAACATGTATAATTAAATTTTATAGTTCTTTTCCGTGAGGGACAGTACTGTTTAACTCAGCCTTAGATATCAGCCAGGATGTGAGGGAATAGTTAAGTCAAACATATGCTACAAATTTTAATTGTTGTAAGCAAATTATGAAAAAAAATTATTATCAGTAAGTCCCCTGACAGAGAAAGATATATCTGAAGCATAGGCAGGTTGTCTTTGTAATATAAAATTCACAATACTACCTCACAGGAGTGTGTTGCAAGGATTAACTAGTTAGCATTTGTGCCTTGAGTAGTGTGAGCAGGAAAGTGAAGTTCTTTTATTTCCAAAGGGTGTGTTCTGCTTTTGCACAGATCATCGTGGGATAACATATCTCAGTTACTGTTTGATTTCTTTTCCCTCCTTTCTGGCTTGGTAGTTGTTTGAAGGAATGAAGGCTTTCCGAGGAGTGGATGGCAAAATCCGCCTGTTCCGGCCAACTCTCAACATGGACAGGATGGTGCGATCAGCGAGACGAGCAAGTCTGCCAGTATGTAGACAAGGCATCTTATTCTCCTTAAGTCAGAGCATATTTTCAGTTTCAGAGTGCAAATCTCTGAAACTTTACAGTAGTGTAACGTATCAAACACACTAACTCTTTAATAGTTTGGTTAGACTTTGTTAAGAGGTCATATTCAGTGAACTCTTTAAAATGCATTTTTCTTTTAAATCACAACAGAGTTTTGCTTTCTTTGTTGTCTGCCTACTTCCTCAGATATACTCAGTCTGTTTCTGAGGGATTAGTGCTGTTCTGCAAGTACTTGCATGCAGACAGCTCCTGAAATTGTTCTGGTGCTGATGTTCTTCCTTTTCTTCTTTCCACTTCAGTTTAGTCCTTCAGCCTCTGAGTGCCTTAATTTTTGCTCCTGCTAGCAACTTAACACTGCTTTTAGCAGTTGTATATTGGCCAGTGAATTTCCTCCCACACTTACTAGTTTATTACTGTAAGAATTTTTCAACTTTGTAAAACTGGGAGATGTGATGCGCCCCTGGGAGTTATAACCCAAAGCACTCTTCTGCAGAAGAGGTGGTACTGTAGCTTGCAGCATGCCGAAGTGAAGGTGTTGGCTGCACAAGGACTTCTCTACACGTGCTTTAGAGGCAAGAAGGGTCAAGGGCTCCTTTTTACTATCTCAGAAAGATACTTTGTAGCAGCAGGAGGGCATTCAGGATACTATATAAAAAGGCACACTGGCAAAGACCTTGGGATCTTAAATTCAGTAAGAAATTAACTTAAGGAAGATGATGTAGTCCTATGAACGTCTATGGACTGTCACTGTAACGTATCCTGATGAAATGTCCCCCTTACTATATGGATCTGTAAAGATCACAGAGTGTTCAGGCTATATTTCTCCATTTGCTTTTCTCCCTTTGCTTTTCCTTCCCAGTGTTTTGACCAGAATGAGCTGTTACAGTGCATCCAGAAGCTTGTGGAAGTGGAAAAGGAGTGGGTCCCATACTCAACAGCTGCCAGCCTCTATATCCGTCCTACCTTAATTGGAACCGAGGTGTGAAACGTTTTTTTTTTCCCTTCTCAACATTTATGTATTTAAGCATGAGGCAAAAGCTTCCATCCATAAAGGGAAATACGCAGCAGTCACTAGACAACAGTATTACAGCTCAGGGGCAAATTGTTTCAGTGTTTTCACTTCTGTAGCTCTATTTCACAAATTTATGTTGGCCACACCACCACCTAGTGGACACATTGATTCAGATCACAGAAAGTAGGCTACTAAATATTCTGAGTAGTAACGGCAAAATTTAGATTAAATTTGGGTTTGTAGTAAAAGGATAGTTATTTGTGACCTAGTAATGTATGCCTTTAAAATACTAATAATCCGGAGAAAATATGAGTGAACAGAAATTTGCTGTGGAGATTTTGTGATTTCATCTCACACTGCCATCCTGACTTTAGTGAGATTTTGGAAGATTCTACCCAGTAAATTACAATGGCTCTTCTGAGAGAGACTTTTACCAGAACTAAGAACAAGTTCTTGTGTCAATTTATTCTTGAACCCAGATAAACCTGACCTTACAAGAGGCTCCTTAGCAACTAGATATTAGTGTGTACTGTGTGCGTTTCATGTGGGTGTGAGTCAAGCCTATAGTATTTATAAAGGGAATTAGAAACAGGGAGTTTATTTTATTTAAAACTTGAAAGGGTTTTTTTTAGTAGTGGCAAGAGAGAAACCTATAATGGTAGAGTACAGGACAAGGAAGTTAAAGAATGTATGGTTCCCAACTTGGCAAGTTACTCTTCTGCAATATCCACGTCTGTAAGTAGTTACCATACATGAGCATTATACATTTCACAGGTATTCTAGGACTCCATTAATTTAATGCTTGTAAACTAGTTGCAGATTTTCAGACGGAAGGATCTCCACTTAGTGACTGTAAAGTTTAATATTAAAAATTGAGGGGTTTTTCCCTCTTTTTGTTTTTTGGAAATTTGTTTGCTCTTGGAATTTGTTTCAGGTTAGCCAACATATCTAACCTTCCTGTGATGTAGTATGTTGTCTCCAGGTTGTGTGTCTTGCTAATCTTTTATGTATCAGGATAATTAGGAAACCCGGTCAGCACGATCTTTTGAATCATTGTGTAAGAATCAGGAAAATATCAATATCTCAGTTAGTTAATCTTTCGCTTGTTAGAAGTTTTGCTGAAAGAGTAAGGTAGAGAGAAATCAAAAGAACCCTCTCAGCACCTGAGGAAGGCTTATCTGAATTTTTCAGTAGTTACATTATTACATTATTATTTTCCCTCCCATTTACCGTTTTAGCATCACGTGCTCTGTGCACAGTGTTTTCCTTTGATCCTAAAGATTTAAGTTCAATAACTTTTTCTAATGGAGATAAAATTTTAGAAACAAAGGATGAGCTTGTTCTTTTTACGAGACTGGTTTTTCAGAGTGGAGAGAAAATACTGACCTATTCAGTTGCATAGAAGATCCCAAGAATCATGGACAGCCATCTGTACATAACCTTGCTTGAGCAAGGGGCTGGACAAGGTGATCTCCAGAGGTGCCTGCTAACCTCAGTAATTCTGTGATTCTGTCGGTCCTGAGCTTTGCAAAGGATCATATAGTTAAACAGAGTCCCCTATCACAGTACTCAGACTTTGACCAGTGCCAGAATTTTCACCTCCACCTTCAAGTATTGATGGTGATGACTTGAAGTGTGAGAAGCCATCTCTTAGAGAGGAGGGGAAAAAAGAAAAAGTGATACATTCCAGGTTATTTCCTGTGCTGTTCTGTGAACCATGGCCAGCAGGCAAAATTGTAGCTCGTCACACACTCATTCGCAGAGCCAGCACTCAACTCTACCAATGCCCATTCTAAGTGACATTGGCTAATTCTCATCATTAATGCAGCTGACAGTGCTTCCTCCACTGTTGTTCCTAGCAGTGGCCCTTGCCACTCCTCCCCCCAGACGGCTTTGCAGGCTTCTGTTGTGATTAATTCCTATAATTATATAGTATATTGTTAAGCTAATTTCTGAGTTCTCAAAAGCTTGAAACTATTTGAGAAGATTAGAATAACATATAGATAAATGAAACAGCTGTAAGTGGATGGTGACAGTGTGTAAAATTAGGGTTGTTATGTTGCTTGTATGGGGGGGGGGGAAGTTATATATATTTTTTCTCTTCATTGCAGCACTTTGCACTGTTCTGGTAAAAGCACTCTCGTGCTGCAGGTCATCGAAAACCGGTATTTCGGAAGCTAATTGTGCAGCATCTGGTGCTTGGAGTGAAGTATACTAGTAACATTTGATTTGTTTACATTCCTTCTTTTCAGCCTTCCCTTGGAGTGAAGAAGCCGACTAAAGCCCTACTGTATGTCATACTGAGCCCTGTGGGCCCTTACTTTGCAAGCGGAAGCTTTAATCCAATATCCCTATGGGCAGATCCAAAGTATGTGAGAGCCTGGAAAGGAGGAACAGGAGACTGCAAACTGGGAGGGTAAGGAAACATGATTCTACATCTACATAGCTCACAAAGGAGATTTGGTTTTTAGTGAAGTATCTAATCCATCAGAAGTAAAGGTATTAAATGCATCAGTTAAACAAACAATGTACTATAACAGAGATTTTAAAATTGGACTTTGCAAATACTATTTATACAACTCAGTTGCATATTTTTTGTTTGGATATTACAGCCAAGTGGACTATTTGCAGAGGCAGTTTTGCAGCGTCTCAAGTAGAGGAACTGGACTTGGAAGGTGTCCATGTAATACTTTGGCTGTTCCCCTTGCAGAAGTTGACACTAAATATATCACTCTGTGATGCAGTATTCAGTATAGCAGCCTGCTGCCAACTGGGCAGTGAGCAGCATTGACTGCTGACCTCCTTCCTTGGCAGACTGTCTTGACAAACCATCTGCAGTTAGCTAGGGGAGTACGGGTGTTTAAGGGAAAGCATGAGACAATTATCAGCATTGACTTGGCCATAGTCTGGCCAAAGCACCAGTTAGGTAGAAACATTATTTTTTAATGTCCAAGTACTTGACCTGTAGAGTGAAGCTGCTTAGGACTTGACTGGAGCAAACAACTTGTATGTGGCCAAATAAGTGACTTGATTATACACCCTTGGTCTTTGGTTTAAACAAAACTTAGTGGGAGTTTCTTTTCTAGGCAGGAAGTTAGTCTTTGTCAAGTGCTGCTCAACAGAGCTAGTAGAATAATCAAAGGGCAAGAAAAGAGCTTTCCTTCATTCAGTCTGATGTTCTGAGATCTTTGTGAGTTCTTGTTTAGTTTTAGAAGTGTATTAATTGTTTCCTGTGCATCCTTCATACATCAGCTGTGAAAAAATAAATGTCTGGAGGCACTACTGACTTGATTTGTGCCCAGAGGTGAGAACTTAACTCCAGTGTGGTCAGGACTTTGGAGCTGCTGTCTTTGGGTCAAGATGGTTGTTGCACATCAGCAGCGAAAGTGGCTTTTCCCCACCTCAAAGCAGCTACAAAGTCAACACATACTATTCAGTCAGGTTCACTCTGTGGGCAGCATTTTAGGAAAACAGTTGCTCCTCAGGTATATGGAATTCATCAAGGCCCATTTGCAGCTCCTGAAGCTACTAATTTTGTGAATGTCTTACTAGAAAATAAATAATTTGCCTCTGGTGATTTTTGTGTTCTAAGAGGTTCATCTGACATATATGACCCATCTGTTCGTCTGACATATATGAGATGAGGTAGATGGTTTTGTTTTGCTTTTTTTTCTAAAAAACATGAGCTGGATGGGAATTGTTACTCTCTCTCCAGGATGCCAACTGCTAAATAAATATAAATGCTTTCCTAAGGTGTCTAACTGCAATGATTAGAATGTCTGGAAAATGGAACAAGAGATATTTTTAAGACAATTTGGACAGATGTGTTTGAGCTTTTGATGCTGTTCAGCTCTTCAGAGTTTTTGGGTTGTAGACACAAATGATATATAGTAGAGTATTTCTAATGAAAATATTTCAGGGACAAGCAGTGACTGGGCAGAGCATTTGCTTATGAGGTAGATGTGCACAAAACCTTGCACAGAAATGAGAGAATACCCAACCAGATACTCATAACTGTTTGCTCTTTCTTTTGTTTCTGTAAGGAATTATGGTTCTTCTATTTATGCCCAGCAAGAAGCCCAGGAATTAGGCTGCCAGCAGGTTTTGTGGCTCTATGGAGAAGATCACCAAATAACTGAAGTTGGAACAATGAATCTGTTTCTCTACTGGATAAATGAAGATGGAGGTACAGTAACACAAAACATGAAAACTTTAACAGAGTAGATGGTTGGGAGTGTAATCCACAAAATGATTATTAGAGTGCATATCATAAACTTTTTAATGAAGATGAGTTAACAGAGGAAATGTCTGTTCTCTTCTGAAGACTGCTATTTGACTGTTAGTTATACCATTGTGAAAGAGAAGATTCTGGAGCAGCTGTGAGTACTGCCTACTGATAACATACTAAACTGTTGGGCCAGTCTGCCTGCTCAGAAGGGTAGGGTCTAGCCATACACAAGGTCACACTGCAGGTTTGCTGTCAACTCTAACAGTGTGCTTGATCTTGAAGGAGGTTCAGAAACAATGCAGACATACTAAAAAGACCTTATGGTTGTGTAATGCTTCAAACTCTGTGGCTTTCGGCATGAGTGGTTCCCATCACCTTCTGGCAAGTCAGATGTTCCTGAAGCATAGCCAAAACTATTGCAGCATCCAACTGCTGAAGAACTCGACCCTTTCTGTGAAGAGTTTGAAGTTCTATCCAGTGGAAGCAGAGAGAGAGAAACATCAGTCATCACTCCACATCACTAGTGCTCAGATGATGCTTTCAAGATATACCATTGTTCTTGAAGCCATTTTTACCTCTTTGTACCCACAGTCATCTCTGAGCAATGTACATGCTGATTAGAAAGCTATCTAGTTAATGAGAAGCCAACTAGTTGTGCGTCTCAAAAACACCCATTGGGCATGCAAGTATTCAGTGCTTGAGAAGCGATAGTTGCGCCTGAGAACTGGTTTGAAGACTACATGGCTCTGAGTCCTTAAAGAATTGAGCCAGTGTATAGGAAAGTGAATAAAAGCACAGCTCCTGTCTTCCATGAGTACTGGCCCTCCATGAAAATTAAATGTTAAATTTTTGCATGGCAGCAGATTCAGGGTTCAGACTCTGATTTTGTCATAGTGCCGTGGGTACCCTTGAAAATTGACATTTTTCTTACAGTGCTCAGCTGCAGTACAGGGGCAGCATTCTGTGGGGACAGCAGTGTGCTTTGGATAGTGTAGGGTAATGGGAATCCAGCTACCTGACTCCCATCTCCAGTTTCATTAGTTGTTCTTCTGCAAAATGTTTACCGTCTTTGAAAGGAGAGGGATGATACTGCCTCAGTGTTGAATGAGTCTGTGAAGTCTTGTGAATGAAACTATAAATATGAGAAATCTTGTTGTTATAGCAGCAGTAGATTTGTCAGTGTAGCTAGATGGCCTAATTCACACCTTGTGTAACTTCACTGGAGAGACATGAAAATAGATTTTGGCTCATTCTGCCCATGGAAAGGACACTGAACGGGGGACATAATTAGAATTCAATGTTCTCATTGTACTTAAACCAGGAATATGCTGGAATTATCCAGCTGCAGCACCGTGCTGTTCCAAAGATCTGCCAATCACTGTGTTACCAGTGCACTACTGAATAGTACTATTGTGAGGTGGTCATAGCAAACAACTTGTAATTCATACCACCCAAGCTAACTGTATACTGGCAAACCTGCTGTTTCATGCGACATGGTCATTAGCATCATTGGAGCATTTTGCTGTCTCCCACTGTGTTGATGAATACTTATTTTGTGACATCTTGGGTTGAGAATCACTCTTGCTGCCAGTGTGTGTCGTCACATACCTGCCTATGGCTTGAAAAGGTGATCTAAAAAGTGTTTGCTGTTATGTTCTGTCACTTCACAAAGGATACTTCCTTAGGGTTTGGTTTTGTTTTGTTATGCAAAATCTGCAGCTGAGAGAGAAGGGATCTTATGTAAAAATAGTGAGGCAGAAATTGCAGATCGTCATCAAAAGGAAAATGCCCTTCTTTGTGTGTTCAGAGATCACTGGAGAGTAGTCTGAGCTGCTGTCCTTGGTGTATAAGAAATCAAAGACCCAGCTCAGAAAAAGCCTAGACTAAAGGACATCTATGCTTCCAATGAGAGTAGGCTTTTCTTGCAAGCCTTTGCTGCATATATTTTCAGTTACAGCATTGTGACTAAACATGACGTGTTGTCTTGGGCAGCAGGAGGAGCCTGGAAAATGTTTTGCTTGTGACATTGAGAAGAGAGTAGGGAAGGAAACTACTCAGTTTCTGGTAAAATAACATGACATGCTCTATGCTGCTGTTGTATGCCTGCTATTGCTCTGGTTGAGGCTTATAATATGACCAAATCTGGATCACTGCTGTTGCATAAATACAGGAGTGTGATATTTCATTCATCAAATACTGTTTATGGTTTATGTTCACAAAATGAAGATTTTGGTCACCCTACAGTGCCTTCTACCTGCCTCTTCAGAGCACGTAATGATTCCAAGAAGCTCTTGACATTGAAACTCATTTCTTTTACTAATATCTGTTCTTCTGTCTAGAATATAGGCTTGACTTTATGGAAAACCTTAAAATTTAAACATATCTCTAACCTGAAGGTTGCTAACTATGAAATCTCTGTGCACTTTCCAAAAATACAGTTTCTTCAGAATGATTTGGAACCATCTGGGCTCTACTTCTAGCTCTTACGTTAAGGCATTGTGAATAGCATTCAGGCATTACTTATTTTTTGTGTGCTGTTATTAAAATGAGGATTAATAATGCCCACTTCAAAATAGCTTACATAAATTGAAAATTAAATGTGTTAAAAGATTCTCTGGAACAGTCAGGTAAAATATCAGGCAAGTTTGCTTAGTGTTCTGTAGGTGGGGGATTATTTGTGCTGCAGAAGTGTCTTGTAGAAGTAGACTACTAATCAAATAAGGATCATACCTTCTGCTCTAATAGAAAGCTGTAGCAATAGCATGGAGGGGAGAGCAGCAGATGAATGAGATGGCAGACAAAGAAAAGGAGGGCGAAGTAATTGAGGAAAGTAAATCGACAGAGACGTGAAGACAGAGTGGTTGCATGAGGGGAGAGTAGAAGAAAAGCCTGAGGGGAAATAAAAAACAAATTGCAAGGTCCAGAACAAACTGGCAGAGGAAGTCAGCTGTTAATAGTAGTGAAATCTGAATTACCTGGGTTCTCCTTGACCCTGAAGTTGACTTGATATCTGTTATCATTTTTGGTAAAATATATTTTGGTGCATTTCTCAGCATTGTTACCGAGTGACTAATACTGAAGGCATCTCATGTTTGGAATCTTATCTGCTATATGTTCATAAATACAGGTGTGTAAAAATTGAAGCTGTGTAATATGCAAGGCCTCATTTTAAAAATCCCTTTAAACACTGTGGTGGTGTTCCATTGTTACAGCATTCCTATACCATGCCTGGTGTAATGGGGCACTGGACTGATAGTGCTACTCCTATAACAATAACAGTAGTCAACTGAAGAGAAACCCTGACATTTTCCTTCAGATGCCTTTACCCCACTTCTTGCTTTTTAAAAATCCCTTTAAACACTGTGGTGGTGTTCCATTGTTACAGCATTCCTATACCATGCCTGGTGTAATGGGGCACTGGACTGATAGTGCTACTCCTATAACAATAACAGTAGTCAACTGAAGAGAAACCCTGACTTTTTGCCTTCTTGCTACTATGCATTTTAAGGCTTCTAGCCCATCAAAATAATTCAGAAGGCAAATGGAGTCTGTGAGCTCACAGTCTATTTTTTTGGAGATGGACAAATTGATGTTATATGGAGCCTGGTTTGGCATCAATTGACAGAGAAGATGAGCTTTTTTGGCATACCATATTGTATAGCATTATCATCTCTGCCGGATACCAGGGGAGCAGATGTTCCTTCAGTGGCCCCAGGCTGGTAGACATCATATGTATACTTGACAAAATTCAACAGACCAGGCTGTTTGAAACATTTAGAGACTCCCGTGTTCTGTCTGCTCGGAGCTGTTTGGCCTCTGGTTTGGCCTAGCACCTTTTCAAACTAGCTCAAATCAATTATTATATGTCATTGAGCTTAAGCAGGTCCTGGCCAAGATCTGTGACAAAATCACCGAATAGAGAACATTATCTGGTGTGTAGTCACAATCTTTGTTTTAAGGTCCACATTATCTGAAGTTTTCTGTTAGAGAAAGGGGAGCACTTGTGTATGATGGGGTCACATCAGGTTTTCAGTATTCAGAATTAGGCCAGCCCTGTGGTTCATGGAAAGTTTTTAAGTCCTCTTCTTTTGATCGTTGTGCCAGAATTAGGACCAGACAGGTGTTAAAATTAGGAGTGATGCTAGACAGGCTGAAAAAGAAAGGCAGTTGTTCCTGACTGTATGAGAAAGGAGTCCAGGATAGGTTAGGACATGGCACTATTGGTTAGTCAAACAGGAGCAGAAGATATAGCAGCATTTTAATACATTTTGGCATGGCAGTTTACATCTATTACTTATGTATGTATGGATCCTCATAAAAGGAATATGGAAGCATAGATAGGAAAAACTAGTCCAAATGAATAAATCCAGGGGTGGCTGCATTGAAAAGAAAAGTAAGAGACGTTTCCTGAGAGAATGGACAGCGAGGACCAGATTCAATTAACAATTCCATTTATTTATCCTCCATTTCCTCTAGCCCACCCCAACTCTCAAAGCTCCCTCTTGCAGAGTGGGAAAGAGCCCATGCTGTAGTAAGTCTGGAGCTGTGTATGCGGTGGCTGGCAGGCGGTGTTTGTGTATAGAATTATCTAGCAGACTGTTGAAAACAGAGTATTAAGCAGCTGAGCTCAACCTGCTCTCTCAGTCCAAGGATGAATACCATGTTTCTCTCTTCTACCCAGCTGCAATTTTTCACAGGACATATAGAAACATTTTTAAGACAGCTTCTCCTTTGGGACTGGTTCAAACAGGCCTGGATTCAGTGATGTTTTGTGGGTGGGGAGAAGGGGGCGTAATAAAAACATGAAGACACATATTGTGCTCTTTTACATGTCCTAGGTAAAAATGTATCAAAAACCTTCATAGTTTGTGGATTTAATTAGCAGGATAATATTCTTATAAGATCAAGAAAGATAATGACTTCTCACCAGGAAGACAAAATGGTTAGAAAAAAAATATGAGGAGTATTTCTGAAAGACTGTGTATGTCTTTGCTTCTCTGTGCAAATTTGAGACTGTCTTAAAAGAGCCTGGCTGTCTGAGAGTGTAAATGCTCAGTATTGTCTGATAATAGAAAATACTGATTATGCTATACAGTGGTTTAAAAGGAAAGTGATAGTTTAAAAGGAAAAAGATTAACTCTGATTTGCTGAAAAGGTCAGTTGGAAGAACAAAGACTACATACAAACTTCTGTGTTGTAATTTAAGTATTTACCAAATATAGGTTACAATTTGTCTACTGTTTCATCCGTTACGTTAGATGAACATTTATCTGATGTTCTTTTTCAAAAGCAAACAAGAAAAACAAGCTAAAGAGATGAACTAGTTGAGCAATTTGAATTGTTGTTGCTTTTGGAATTTTATTAGGACTGCACTTTTTGTGTAAAGAGAAAATTAGGGGAAAAAAAGGATGCCTAGACTAAGACAAAAGATCATTAACAAGTCTCCTCTCAAGACACATTTGGCAAGGTTTCCACTGCTTTGCTTGTTCAGAAAAGAGCCTCAGAATTTCTGTTAGATGTTTCATTTTAGTGCTAAGAAGTAGGTATACTGAACCAAATATTCCTAAATTATGTAAAGCAGTTCAGGGAAAGTCATGATCTGACCTGGGATTATTAGGCATCACTTTCCCTTGTGCCCCTGTATTCTGAATTTGAAGACTGAGCCATTCAATTGTTCCCAGTAATTATACAGTGAATCTGTAATACCCTGAGGAATAAAACCTACTACTAGGCTTTAGCCATGTATTTCTTAATGTATTAAATATGCTTTTTCCCCACCCACTGAAGTGTACTCAGATCCAAACACTCAGCAGCAACTTATTGGAATTGAATTTGTGTGACTTGTGTTCTTACAGAACTCTGATAAATGTTACATTTTACTGGGTAGGGAACGTTTCTGGTATGATTTGACTTATTTTTAATTTTGATGTTTGGTGTAATATTGGTAAACGCTATTTTGTCTCTTGGTTTTTCAACCAGTGTTTCTATTTTGTTTGTGTTTGATAGAAGACGAACTGGCAACCCCACCTTTAGATGGCATCATCCTTCCAGGAGTGACAAGACAAAGCATTTTGGAACTGGCACGCAACTGGGTGAGTGTTTTGACCTTGTTAGTAATGGTTTCAACTATCATGTTATAACGTCAACAAAAGCAAGCATTCCTGGTGCTCAGTATCTTGAAGTTCAACTGATCTGGTCAAATCCCTTAACTTAAATGGGAACTAAGGGCATGCTAATTCATAGATTCCCAGCAGCATCATCAGAGTACCCACACCTGTCACACAGAACAATACCAAGCTTATTACAGTAGCTCCGGTTAGTATTTAACGTGAAAATTCTCATTAAACCCACTGGTACCAGCAACTTAAAGGAAGGAAACAAACAATTACCGTGCATGACTACTTCAGTCATCAGCACACTATTTCTCCACTTGGTTCTCATGGTTCCACCATTGTTTCTAATAACTAGCATGCAGCCTAAAATCCAGCCACAGTCTTGAAGTCATCTGTCTGCTTCCATATTCCAGTTCTGTAGTGTAGCCATCCAAGTACATATTTGGACACTTGGGACTTCCCCATATCTTGAAATACAGCAAACTGTTCACTCTGCCTGTACTGTATTCAAAGTTTTTATTGTGGCTTGGATAAGAACGCTGTACAGCTCATCAAGCCTGCTATCCTGTCTCCTGGTTTTGGCCAGGCTTATGTTTTAGGGAGGAGTAACAGGAATAACACAGGCATGTGTGATACCTTCCCCCAGTATTGACTTAGCTTCCAGCCACCTGTAGCTGAAAGACTTCCTGAAATACAGTTCATAGTTATATCACTTAGATCTAACTTGCAGTGAAGATTGCTAGGCATCTACTTTGTGGCACATGCGTGCCACTTACTGATCTGCACTGAACTCCTATGTGTCTTTCTTCATATTGATACTCCCTTAGTGCACATATGCATGCACACTCCTCAGTCGCACCCCCTTTACAAGACAGACAGATATTCCCAGTTGAAAGGGCCTGTTTGTGAGATACCAGAGTCTCACCTCAGTCCTCTTGAATAATGAAGTGTCTTCTGCTCTCACAAAGTTTGTGTTCTTCCTGACTTCCATTCCCTAACCTGTCTGCAACTCTGCTTTCGTGATGTCCCTGCCTCTCTCTCCAAATACTATCCTGTCTAGAGCTAATAATGTTTTCCACTATCGTAAGTATCTCTGTTTCTTGTTAAAAAGCTTGCTTATAAAACAAGGGCTGAGCTTTAGTTTGGTCTGATAGGACAATAAAGTCAATATAAATCCATGAAATGAAAATTTCAAAGTCCAGTGTTTATTTTTGTTCTTTAAGCACATCCCCTCAATCAGTTGCTATGCATTCAATCAGTTCCTATGCATTCTTCAACGTTTGTAGAAGGTAAAACACTTCCTATGTTAAGACTGTCTAATGCTAATAGTTTTACTCATACCTGCAGTACAGTTAATTTGTGTGCAGACTACAGTGTGAAATTTCACCAGGTTTTAAAGAAATGTATCACATCTAGTTGGCATTGCAGGTGGAATTAACAGACTGTATTTTGCTTAGGAATTGTCCAAGAGTGGAGTGCAAAGCTCTCTTGACAAAATTGAGTAATTTTTGTACAAACTTTAGCATGCTAGAGACCATGCATAGTCAGATCCTGTGTCACATAACCCATGACAAATTCTTCTGTGTTATTCCCTAATGCAGTGTTCATATTCTGTACCAAATCAGAGGGAAATGCCACTTAGTCATCAGCATTGTATCTGGCAAACCACTGGCTTCCTTGCAGACCATTCTTTTGATCAGAGTCTATCTTGTGTGATACTGGGAGGTTTGAAAAGATCACAGGATCACAGCCAAATCTAGACTGATTTCTACTAGGCTAGTAGTTTTGTTAGAGATGTTTCAACATGGAAAACAAAAATGCAAACAATTCTTTACTGTTTTTATGGTTGATTCTTCTTGTGCAGGGCGAATTTAAAGTGTCTGAGCGATACATCACCATGAGTGACCTGACAGCTGCCTTGGAAGAGAACAGAGTAAAGGAGATGTTTGGTGCTGGAACAGCTTGTATTGTATGTCCTGTCTCTAAAATTTTATATAAGGGCAAGGTAAGAAAATGTCTGTCTTCGCCAACCCCCCCTTTTTTCCTTCTTCAGAATGTTATCGTAATTAATTGCAGCTGAAGCAAAAAAACCAAAGTGAGATAGAAAAGGAGTGCTGCAAGATGCTCCTGGAATGATGAACAGTGTCACTATGTTGTTTCTCAAGTGAGTCACTAGTATGTTATCAGAAAGGAACTTTCCCTCTCATCTTCTGGGTTTTTTTAATAGTTAAAACCATAAAATCTGAATTCCTGGGAAAAGGGGGAAAAAAGTTCCCAGCCTGTTTGAAAATATAGTAAAATACATTCTCCCACATTTCTTTTATTAAACATTTTTTTCCAAAGTTAAGGCACCTAGGAAAGGTGAGGAGGAGAAAGACCTTTGCAGGAAACCAAATTTCTGAACCACTGCATTCGTTCCTTCTCAAGTTCGTATCTTCTTCACCCCTCATTGCAGGGAACCCAGCTCTGATGGAAGAGCTGTTTCGGGAGGGTGCACAGCTGCTTCCAGCTACTCTACATGTTATGGGAAATTTCGCCTACACAGGTGGAATTCCACAGGCATTCAGCCTGTTAAGCTGACTTGATGTGATTTAGCTAGCACAAAGTTCGTTCAGAAGGCTGGGTTATTGCAGCTGCATATATGGATGTGTTTTGTTCCATTAAATATCACAAGTACGGTAAATGTCTGCAAGGTGATATTTCTTGAATTAATAAGATGGACTAAATGTATTGACATTATCAGATGCTAAGATGAGTGTGGTGGGTTAGCCCTTGGCTCGG